CCAGAAACATGAAGATACTATTTGTTTGTTTGTTTGTTTATTTATTAAATTTATACCCCGCCCCTCTAGACCAATTACTACTAAGTAATTCATGAACTATAGTTGGTCTATGCAACTAAGAGTGGCTTGAATATAAGATCAATACAGGTTTAAGTTTATATATTGACAATTTATGTATGTTAATCATTGGGGTTTATGTAGTAAGAATTATATATCAAATGGATTTGGCCTAAAGATGTTAAGTAGGGGAATATGGTATATGCAGTCAGTATTGTATGTTAGATGGATATATGGAAAATATTCTCCCCGATTATGTGTTTTGTGTTTGTTTTGTATGTCTGTTTGTGTTATTAATTAAGAATAATAAAAAAGAAATTAAAAAGAAACACAATTTCACGACATATATTTTCAGCTCTGCGTTCTGCAACCACCCTCGGGACTAATTTACATATTTTACTTCATGTTTTGTAACTGCCCTATTTCTCTCCAGAAATACAGTAGATTGATTCATCTCCAGGGATATACCGGTAACCTTTCCCTCCCTTAAACAAAAAAAAAATTCTGTATTTATTTACAATCAGTTGATACAGCTTTTGCTCTTAAGTGCTTCTTTTGCAGTAGTGACTGGCCAACTGCATGAGCTGCAACTTAATTAAGCTATATTTATTTGTTGACCCGACTGCTCTAAAATCCCTGCGGAGAACGGTTCCTAAATAGATTTTCCCTGGAGATGTGAGGGGATTATTAGGAGACACTGTTAATAACATTATTCTGGATTCAAGTTGTCCTCACCCTAGTTTTTGCTGTTGTTCTTTCTAAGTAAGCATTTTATGAAAGAACAGGGCTAAAAAAAAGAAGATAAAAATAAGGGAAAATGGAGGGGCTGATCCAGCGGAAATCTTAGGACTTGCACATGCAACGCGTGTGGCAGTTTGCAGGGAGGCTGAGAGGGCAGGGACCTCCTTTTTTAAAAAAGGATTAATGTGCTTTTCACAGAGAGGCGCTCTCAGGGAATGTAATTTTGGGGGCAAAGTGTTCCTAAAAGGGAAGCAGCTTGCACGTGAGGGGAAAACCCTTTCTCTCTGGAGCCTCCTGAAGGGCTCATTCGGGGCTCCAAGGCTCCTGTGGAAAAAGTAGCTCAACCAAAGAACATGAACATAAAAGCAGGGGAAAAAACACGCTTTTTCTGCTGACAGGGAGAAACCCTAAAGCGCCTTCTGTGTGATGCGCATGAGCAATCGTCTCCCGCCCTCAAAAGTACTGCACTTTCCCGCTCGGGCAGAAACTGCGTCTTCGCTAGCAGCGCATGCGCAATAAGGCTCGAGCCGGGCGCGCAGGTTCCCGCGCGCCCGAGCTATTTCTCGATCCTCGCCTCCCCGCTCCTCACCTCCGTCAATCAAGAGGAGGCGGCTCTTCGTCCGGTGCGCTCCACCTATCAATCACTCCGCGTAGCTCCTCCCCCTCTTTTCTCAGCCAAAGAGGCGGGACGGGGGCGGAGCGAAGAAAGCAAGTGGGAGGGGTAGGAGGTTTTTTTTAAAAATTACCTCAGAGTGGGGCGTTGCGTGCAAATTTGCCCTCGCTGTGAGGGGGCGGGCGTAATTAATTCATTAGTTCCAATAAACTGCAGTACATTTTAATCACTACTAATTAATAGAAAATAGTTATTACTTTTAACTGAAAGAAACGAATTAAGAGTCCCAGTCATTAGAAAGGCTTGCAGGGAGGTGACAGAAACGGGCTGTTCCAATGTTGTTGGACTACAACGCCCATCAGCCTTGGCTGAGATAGTAACAGGGGATGTTGGGAGTTACAGTCCAAAAACTTTAGCCTAACAACAACAAAAGGATAATGTGGTTCATTTGAGTTCAAGGGGTCTGCTTTATGTCTAAATCTGAAGCCAGCCCTATACATATATTGTTCCTTCTGTGAGGAAGGATATTCCTCATAACACTGTATGCCATCAATGCAGTTTAATAATAATTGCTAAAGGATTCATTAATACTGTTTTGGAGGTCCTGATTGCCCTACCAGAGCCAAAAACAAATTACAGTAACCTCATTTTAAATAACTTTATTTGCATTTTGTTTCTCAGAACCTTTCTTCCTCATGCCCTGAAATAAGGAGTCCAATGAGGTAGATTCTGGACCACAAAAGCCTTTGTGCCATCCCTCAAATGTAATTAACGGTTCCCAGGAGAGCAGCGTGGGTGAAAGCTGTGTTAATTTGTTGCAATAAAAGCAATGAAAAGTCTGAGGACACCTTCAAAGCTGACACATTTTACTGTATTTGACACCAGATTTCAGGGGCTGCGCTCCACTTCAGATGCCTTTGCATGTTTATGCCCAGTAAAACTTGGCAGCTTTTAAAGTCACACAAGATTCTTCATTTTATCAGGAAGACACTAGTCTTTGCCTCTAAGTGTTGCTTGCGAAAAAGGGGCTTCTGTGCCTCTCTGGAAATGTCCAAGGTGGGGTATGTGAGTTGGTGCAAATACAATAGAGTCTGCTGGCACTTTAGAGTCTTTTTATGTGGTGTCAGGTTTAGTGGACTTTCCCCCTCTTTTTCACACCTGAAGACGTGGAAATATGAACCTCCAGCAAATGGTTGCAAAAAGGAGCTCATTGCATCTTGGGCAGCAGATGGCACAGTCTTTATGCAGGAAGAGAAATATCAGTGTGTAGCTGTTGGAAAACTAGCTCAACAGACTTCCTTTCACTGGAGGGTGTGTGTTGTCTCAGTCATTCCCAAGCTGTGTTGTCAGGAAGGGAAGAGCGGCAGCATCAGAGCCTGGAAATTTTATTTTTCCAGGTTACTTCTTCCTGAAGGTGTAATTCAAAAAAGCACAGTTTCCAAGCTGTGGGAAGCACATGAAACGACTGCTAATGTGCTCTAGAAAATACATGTAAAATGCAATTTCCTCAGCCACCCCCACCCCCCCGTACCAAACTCACACAGAAACAAGCCTGTTGTATCTCTGGCATGAGATTTACCCTGTTTCCCCCAAAATAAGACTTAACCTGAAAATAAGCCCTAGCAGGATTTTTTTTCAGGATGCTCATAATATAAGCCGTACTCCCAAAATAAGCCCCAGTGAAGTGAAACTCTGCCCATCACCATTGTGCAGCAACCAGAAGATGACATGACTGTAAAATAAAACATCCCCTGAAAATAAGCCCTAATGCACTTTTTGGAGCAAAAATTAATATAAGACCCTGTCTTATTTTCGTGAAAACACATTATGACTGCACCTACTCAGACCTTGCTTCCTTCCAATCCCTGGTCAGATCCAGGAAGGTTCTTCCCGTATTCTTTATGCAGTCTTTGGTGAATCATGTTTTTCAGTGTTTTATAACCTCTCTTCCCGCTGATGTTTCCAGCACTATACAGTATTCATTTACTCTGAAGAGCCAGCATGGTGTGAGTTTTGGCAGTTAATCTGAAGTCAAACAACGGTAAGCTTGTCTATGCCCCAAATATTTCTATGGTTGTGTGTTCATATCAGCTAATGGAGAGCTCCCTGCTGGGAATCACATTTCGGAAGTGGATGATTGTTTGCTGACAAGATTGAGGTCAGAGGGCCCGGATGCCACTGAAAAGACAGCGCTTCAAAGGAACTACACTGGAGAAGATGAAACGGAGGCAGGCAGGTGGAACGGGGTTTTATTTCCTTGGAGACAAAGCCCACTTAACCAGTGGCAGGTGTTGGTGGTTTCCTCCACCTCTGACAGCTGGTGCGTCAGGCCCACCCTTATCCACTTGGCAGTGAGACACAGCTGATGTCTTCCTGGCGGGCCCCAAAATCCACAATCATTTGCTTGGCAAAGCTTGCCCCCCTTTATGCCTGTCTCTTGTTTGTATGCTATATATATAGCTTCAGGTTTCTGCTTCTCTTCCAGAAAAGGATGGTTGTGTGAAAAGAACTGACCTCTGGAATCCGGGTTACTGTAGATGAGAGTTGGAAGCAACTGTTCCTGGTTTATTTCGAGACTGCCGGAAGCAGAAGCAAAGCACAAAGGATGGGAAACACCCATCCCTAGAACGATTGTAAAAGTATTTAGCATTCACTGTGTCTTTTGCATACTGAAAACACTTTCTGTATTCTCAGCCCGGATCTCCAGCCAATCTCAGTTCCCTAATGAATACACAACATACAGAAGCAGCAAAGTTGGCTGTCAGAAAAATTCTAAATTCCACACGGTATCAAGAATTGCAGTAATAATGCAGAGAAATTTGTTCAAACTTTGAGGATGGTAAGATCTTTTCATTGCATGCTTGCAGGCATGTATTTGCTTTGTTTGTATTTCAGTGGAGATTTTTGAAAACGTGACCTCCCTTTTCAGACATGCACCAACCAGCATACAGCTGTAGAGACCAGGGTCATATCCATTGCCCCTACCCCCCTCTGACATTTCTTTTATGACTAGAAACTTAGCTGAGGTTTCAAGTGGTGGGTGACTGAGTATTGTTTAATCATGACTCGCATCATCCCCAGACAATGGTCAGGAATGATGGGACAGGTACTCTTCCAAATGGGGATAGCTCAGTGGCTTAGATCTCTGGCTGAGGAGCCAGAGGTTGGGAGTTCGATTCCCCACTTTGCCTCCTTGACAAGCTGGACCGATGATCCACAGGGTCCCTTCCAGCTCTGCAGTACTAAGATGATAATGATAAATCTGATAACCAGAGACTGAGAAACCCTGAGCCTGTATGGCTTTGGAAGTAGTTTCAAAATGCCTTCTGTCTTGCTGTCTTCCAAATACCTACAATCCCTTCGTGAATGCAACACATATGCAAATGTTTTTGAACTTGTAAGTCCTGATCCTACTCCTTTTATACATGTTGACAGTATGCTAATTTATAAATGCCTGAAAATAGCTAATGTAGAGGCATCCGTTGGGGAGCTTGAGTACTGGCTGATATAAACTGGATCACAAAAATGTACCATGTTCTCATTGCCAGAAGAACTGGCAAGCTCAAAGTATTTGGAAATAAATTCCTGATAAGTTTTTAATGTTTAAGTATTTTTAAAATCACAAATATTTCAGCAGTAGGAGAAACAAAAGAACCCAGAACTATGAATAGCAGCTACATTCAAAGACAAGAAGAGGCAGGGCACCACAAAAGAGTAAGAAAGGAGAGAAAAGAGCTAAAGAAGAAGCGTCCCTGAAGTCATGTTAGAAACAGACACGATGCTCAAGTGAGGTGATACAGTCTTAGAAAACAGTGACATGTCAGACGGAAAGCCAGAGAATAGATGAGAAGCAGCCTGCGGCAGCAAGCCGAGATATTTTATGAACAGGACAAAAAAGTGCAGGAACTTGCATTTGGTGTCCTATCTGGAGGGTATCCTAATCTAATTTTGCCCAAGATGGCACCCTCCACATGTGCTAGATTTCATCTGGGAGTGGAAGTCCAACACATCAGAAGGGCACCAGGTTAGAGAATAATTCCCTAGGCACCTTGGCCCACTCAGTTTCCATTTTGATATGCAGAAACCTTTTTGACATTCAGCCAACACACCTAGGTCTGTGGCAGCCCTTTCCCACATGGTGCCCTGCAGATGTGTCAGGCTACATATAACTAGGGTGCCTGGGGTGATGTCCTATATCTGTCAAGGGTGCAGGTAAGGGGAAAAGTTGATTTACTGCATATCTTTTCCTTTTCAAAGTCCGACGAGTAACTGGGTAACTAAAATGATACTACAGTACTTCATAATAGTGGACTTTGGTGCCAAACAAACCACGGCACTTGTGCATTTTTGGCACTTTGGGGTACATAGTGACAGTAAGAATATGTCACTTAATATTTTACTTCAGAGAGAGATGTAAAGGGCGGCGGGGGGGGGGCGCACACTGGTACTGTAGATGTTATCCATTTAAAGAAGCCCAGGTCACTGGGCTTCATCTACAGATTTGCAGTTTTGCCACACATTTAAGAATTCACTGTTGAACATGCTGCTTGAAAAATAAATGTCTGGAAAACACATCTCTGAGAAAAAATGGACTGCTTTCCAGTTCACAGTCTACAATAAAGCGATTGACATACCAAAAGCATCATTCACGTCTAAACAGACTTAGACTTTTTTTCCAGTAAAAACTCCCCCCAAGGAAAATCTCTGGGAAAATTGGGACTTGCCGTCCAGCATACATGGAGGACAGTGACTTGGAGAAGCCTGACATGTGTGATGTGATCAGTTGTGATTTGGAGCCTTTTAACAGATGCAGAGCTAATTGTATGGTAGTCTTTGCCCACTAGAGTCCTTAGAAATGGCTTGCATGAATCAGTTCAAGGTGAGATTCCCGCGTCACTGGAATTCTCTTTTAGCTAAACTAAACGAGAAGATAATGATGACCGTCTGTAACTGAATGTTCACTCTCATCTCTTCAGGCTCAGACAACACTGTTGTAAGCTGTAGCTCGTGGCTAGTGATTTTGCTGTTGTGATGATACTACTATACCTCTGCATGGCCACTGCTTCCAAATTCTACCATCTTCCCTTGTGCGAAAAGGTGAGGTCCCAAACAGTTGGAAACTTGAATCGCGTGTGCACAATAAACTGTGCATGTGTGCATCTATTCTGCTAATGATGCATTTGCACAATGTGATCTGCTTCCCAGTCACAGAATTTCATTCTTTTTTAAAGCTGGCCACAACAATACAGAGTCCTCTTGGATTTTGCTGGCAAACGGATCATGGTGTTTAAAATAGTAGATGATTCTCCCAGGGATTCCATGGGTCTGTTCAAGGGAGAGAATTTCTCCGGCGTGGCTCAAGTCTGAGGGATCTCCTTGGAGGAAGGAGGGTGCCCATGTCTTCTGATCTGGAGCGGGCTCTGGATCCAAACCCGTTTCTGCTGGGATCAGAGCTCTCCCAGTCAGCACTCTCCACTTTCAGCTCCCGCAGGGCCGTGTGTAGCTGCAACAGCTTCTCCAGTAGCTGCTGGTCCTGGAGTTGCATTTCCAGCTGGATTAGAAAGCAAACAAGAAAAGAAGAAACATCTCTGTGTGTAATTAAAGATAAGCAGTGTGGTTGCATTGAATGTTTCATGTACATCCTTACTGAAATTCTGAAGGGGGCCAGGTCAACTAGAAATACTGTAGTCAAAGTTACTTTTTCTGGACAATAATTTCAGTAATAATTATAGTCAAAAATGTTATCTTTCCAACACTGGGGGATTGTCCCAGTACCAGGCAGTCCGAAGACTGTCTCCCAATCCACTCTCTTAAACGCTGGGAGGAGTGAGGAAGCAGACAGGCACCCTTTTCACTGGCCAACAGTTAACTGAAAGTTCACATTTTGCACTTTCCCTGCCTCCCACATGGTTTTTTTTCAGTTCTTAACTCAAATCTAAGTACTTAAGTCAAGTCAATATTTTCCTATGAGAGCGGTTCTTAAGTCAAAATGTTCTTAACTCGAGTCGTTCTTAAGTCAAGACCCCACTGTACATCCTTATTGAAATTCTGAAGGGGGCCAGGTCAACTAGAAATACTGTAGTCAAAGTTACTTTTTCTGGACAATAATTCCAGTAATAATTATAGTCAAAAATGTTATCTTTCCAACACTGGGGGATTGTCCCTTGATCTGCTGCCTCCTAACAATTTCAATGAGTAATGGAATGAATTAGTGAAGAGTGCAAGTTGTAAACCAGGAAAGGACCTCACCGGTTCAAATCTCACCAAAGGTAAGAAAGTTAAAATCCTTTGTGTGTTTAAGTCCCAGAGAATGGTGGGGGCTTATTTCAGAGGGAACATGCGATGGAATGTGATGCACATCCTCAGGCATAGTCATCCCTCATCTAAAATGTGGGGATTGTAACAGTGGCCTACATTTTAGGCTTGTTGTAAAGCTTTGCATAGATACCCATAAAATCTGACTCCACACCACAATGTAAGGGTGAAAACTGCCATGACATGACAAAGACCACTCTCTATTTATCCAACTGTTTATCATTTTCAGAAAGGTGGTGCCCAGTTGGAGACGGGCACAACTAAGGAATCAAGTAAAATCTGAACATTCTCCACAATGTAAGGGTGAAAACTGCCATGACATGACAAAGACCACTCTCTATTTATCCAACTGTTTATCATTTTCAGAAAGGTGGTGCCCAGTTGGAGACGGGCACAACTAATTTCAGGAATCAAGCTGCCCTATGCCAGTGAGCTCCCACCCATTTCTCTTCCTTGTGGCTGCCAGTTTCATTTGCAAGTAGGGTTGGCAGAACAAGGAAAATGGCATTTGTAAAAAAAGGCCTTTTTTAAAAAGGTTCATTCACATCCTGCTTTTCCTCCAGTGAACTCAAGGTGGGATATATGGATCTCCTCGTCACCTGTCTTACTGGCCAGGGTGCAATAAGGTAGCCACCCCATGGTTGGCCAATACATGAGTCCCATGGCTTGCTGGAGACCTGAATCTGGATCAACCAAGTTCCAAGTTGGCACTCTTAACTACTGCACTTCACAAAGCCCAAGAGGCTACTGCTGCTGCTGCAAGCCTCTATAAAGGTCTGTTTACACAGGTTGCTTTCTACACATCTAAAGAAGTTACAATCCTAACAAACTTAACCTAACAACAGTAACAATAGCAGCAGCAGCAGCAGCAGCAGCAGCAGCAGCAACAACAACAACAACAACAACAACAACAACAACAACAATAGTCTGCCATCAAGCCACTTCTGATTATGGTGACCCCCTCTAGGGTTTCCTAGGTAATGAATACTCAGAAATGGTTTTCCATTCCCTTCTTCTGAGAGTGTCCCCTGGAACAGTGCAGCTTGCCCAAAACCGTACAGGCTGGCTCTTCTTCCTGGAGGCCTAGTAGTTGTCAAACTCCCAACCTCTGGCCATGCAGCCTGATACCCAACTCACTAAGGTATCCACCAGTGTATGCCACATAACACCTAATAGTTTTAAAGGTACTTTTTCTGTTGAGATTTATGGCTGGGGGAAGACAACTGAACTGTTGGTCAGCTGGAAGCCCAGGGACAAAATCTAGAGATCGCATGCTTCATCTTTAGCCTCCAGATTTGGGGGTATCTGTTCATAGCAATCTAGTTCCATATCATTGTTATGGACCTGTCCTGTGGAACTTGGGATTTGTTGTTCAGTCATCTCTTCTCTGTCAGAACAGCCTACTGCATGCTGTCCCCTAAACTGCATCATTAGGACTCTGTAGCAGATAATGTAGATATACTTGTAGCCCCCAGCTGCAAGATCTGTTAGTCCTTTCTTCCTTAGCCAAGATTAATGGAAAAGGGCTCTTTAAATCCCTTCCTAGCAGCAGAAGGAGAAAAGCAGGCTTTGGCTTTACCAGGTACTGAATGTGAACATGATTGATGTCATGATTGTTCAGCAACAATTGAGCATGTGGTTGCCATGGGGAAAAGCATGCTAAAAAAAACCAATTCTGCTTATGACAGAGGATGCATGTAGGGGTGGCCCAGAGATGTGAATAGCTATTCCAGATCCAAAATGTTTTGAAATGGAAGAAAGAATCCAATTATTAAAAGCCATGACATATTTCTGATATGAACCATGGGTGTAGGAAGACTTCTCTTACTCAGTAAAGCAGTGGTCCCCAACCTTGGGCTTCCAGATGTTCTTGGACTTCAACTCCCAGAAATCCTGGCCAGCAGAGGTGGTGGTGAAGGCTTCTGGGAGTTGTAGTTCAAGGACATCTGGAGGCCCAAGGCATTAAAAGCCATGACATATTTCTGATACGAACCATGGTGTAGGAAGACTTCTCTTACTCAATAAAGCGTTAAGATGGGATAGCTTGAGGTATTTTTCATGGTCTCCCTTTCCAGGATGTTTCAAGGCCAACAGTGTGATGTAGCAAAGGTTGCTGACCTTTGATTGGAAAGACTTGGGGTTTAAATCACCACTCGGATCACTGGGAGGCCTTGAGCAACTGACCCTCTCTTGGTCTAACTTAAGTCCCTCAGTTGTTCTACAAAGCAAACAGGATCATGATGTCATTCTAAGGATCTCACAGGAAGAGTGGAATGCAAGTTGGACAGACAGAAGATCCAGTAGGCCAGCTGGAGATGTTCATTGACATGGCTGTGAGGCTTGCCACCCTGATGCATGGCAGTTTTTTCTCCTCCTGCACTTGTAACTGGTTGCGACTGGGGGAAGTTTGTCATGTAATGCACTGTCCATTATAGCAGCGATTGGAAAGCTTCACCTGTTGAATCCATGCCTGTTGTGCAACCCCAACTGGCACAACAGCTCTGGCACGTAAGGGAGAAAAACATAGTAAGACCTCTCTATTTGTGAGCTGCTTATGTCAGACCTACCCAAAGGGAGACAGACTTTGGCTAGGTATGGGATAATGGGTGAGTTCTCCTTCCTCCACATTCCAGTTTTCTTTTAAAAAAAACCACAAGTTCTTTCCATCCTGACTACAAAGCAAAGTATGAATTTATATAAGTTATTCTCAAATGGACTGAAATGACTTCCCTGACCCCATTTCCACTTGCCAAATTGAACAGGTACAGATCTTCCTGCATAGAGAGAGAGGACTCCCTGACATACAGGTGTGAAAGCGAAGCCTTCAAGTAAAAGAGAGAAACACATCCTAGCTCTCAAAAGCCATTTTAAAATGCTCAAAAGCCTGGTCCTGGGTACAGAGCATTCCCCATTTTTCTATTTTTTGACATTTCTTCACCCTGAATATAAGGAAACTGTGCATTTCGGGCAAAATTCTTATCAAGCTGAGACAAAAAAAAAACCCACCCAGTTTTGACTTACCAGCTCTTTCCTTAGCCATTCCAGAGCTTGTTCGATATGAACACTTTGCTCTCCTTCCAGTTGCATGCTGCAAACTTGGAGCTTTAGCGATACCACGCAGTCCGGTTGGCCAGCAGCAGGGAGAACATGGGCCTTTGAGTGACGCAGGCCACCTCCTCTTTCTCACCACTGCTTACCTCCTTTGCTGCCTCCTCCTCCTGGTAATTCAAAGCTTGATCAGGCAGCTACGCAGTCTCTCTGCCACGCAGTAGCACTGTGCGGCTGGCAGAACAGAAGCAACTGGTGACTCGCTTTTGAACATGAAAGCCTGTGTAGGAACGGCCATTCTTCCCTCTTCTCTCCCAGCCTTCAGAACACTGTTAACCGGGCAGAAGAGACTATGGGGTTTGTCCTTTCCAAGCTACACGTGACCCAGGGAACCCACAGGAAGGGGGAGTGGGGAGAAAGAGGCCATGCTTTGGCTGAGATGGTCAAGATGTAAAAGAAGGCAAAGAAGCAGCAGCAAGATTCTCTTTTTGTTCTTGTTCTTGTCGTTTCTCCTGGGAAACTCAGCAAGTCGTGCCAAAAAGAGCTGGCCCTGCTAGCAACATCGTCACACTGGATTTGGCAGAAACGCCGTATAAAGCTCAACTACACTGAAAGCACTAGGTGAGACCGCAGCTTCGAGAAGTGGCTTTTTCTTAAATCGCAGCCATCCGAACTCTTCGACCAACATGGCCAGAGATAGCAGTTGTCCCAAAAAGTAACTTTTCCAAACCCTGGATGACGCTGGCTGTTAATGAGAGCCATTAGAGCTAGGAGACCTAAGGAGACAGGAGAGGTTGCTGGGTTCAAATTAATTCGACCTACCAACCTACCAACCTACCAACCTACCAACCTACCAACCTACCAACCAACCAACCAACCAACCAACCAACCTACCTACCTACCTACCTACCTACCTACCTACCTACCTACCTACCTACCTACCTACCTACCTACCTACCTACCTACCTACCTACCT